ATGGAAACAAGCCGCAACACAACAAAATTAGCGCAACACAATGGAAACAAGCCACAACACAACAAAATTAGCGCAACACTATGGAAACAAGACACAACAAAACAAAATTAGCACAACACAATTGAAAGAAGCCATAACACAACTAAATTAGCACAACACAATGAAAACAAGCCGCAACACAATGAAATTAGCGCAACACTATGGAAACAAGACACAACAAAACAAAATTAGCACAACACAATGGAAACAAGCCACAACACAACAAAATTAGCACAAAACACTGGAAACAAGCGCAACACAACGAAATTAGTGCAACACAATGGAAACAAGCCACAACACAACAAAATTAGCACAAAACACTGGAAACAAGCGCAACACAACGAAATTAGTGCAACACAATGGAAACAAGCCACAACACAACAAAATTAGCACAACACAATGGAAACAAGCGCAACACAACAAAATTAACACAGCACAATGAAAACAAGCCGCAACACAATGAAATTAGCGCAACACTATGGAAACAAGACACAACAAAACAAAATTAGCACAACACAATGGAAAGAAGCTATAACACAACAAAATTAGCGCAACACAATGAAAACAAGCCGCAACACAACGAAATTAGCGCAACACAATGAAATTAGCGCAACACTATGGAAACAAGACACAACAAAACAAAATTAGCACAATACAATGGAAAGAAGCCATAACACAACGAAATTAGCACAACACAATGGAAACAAGCCACAACACAACGAAATTAGCACAACACAACAAAAACAAGCCACAACACAATGAAATTAGCACAACACAACAGTAACAAGCCGCAACACAACAAAATTAGCGCAACACAATGGAAACAAGCCACAAGACAACGGAAGCAAGCCACAACACAAAAGAAACAAGCCACAACACAACGAAATTAGCACAATACAATAGAAAAAAAACACCCCTGTTGAAAAAATCAGCATATGCTGGTTAGGTGTGTTTTGAAGCATGGCAGCTGGTTTGAGCTGGTTTATGCTGGTCCTTAGTTGGCCATGAGCTGGTTTAAGCTGGTCCTGAGCTGGTTATGTCTGTGACTAGCTGTTAGTTAACTAGTACATATAAAGTAACTTGGAATGCAGATTAATAAAATACATTCATTTATTTTAATATTGCAATTAGTAGCTTTGTAAATGTAATGTTTGACTTCATTTTAGGGTTTATTTATCGATATTTAAAGGTAGGGCAGGCGATTTCGGAAAGGCAAGCGATAGCAAGCTAGCTTTGAAAGCAAGATCCCACCCTCCCTGAATAATCACTTTGCAAAGCCTCCTCCAAAACACATGAACGCACTCCGTCAGAGCAGAGACTAACCTGCAGCACTATGAGAGACATCGTTGGTGGATGGTCCTTAGTTGGCCATGAGCTGGTTTAAGCTGGTCCTGAGCTGGTTATGTCTGTGACTAGCTGTTAGTTAACTAGTACATATAAAGTAACTTGGAATGCAGATTAATAAAATACATTCATTTATTTTAATATTGCAATTAGTAGCTTTGTAAATGTAATGTTTGACTTCATTTTAGGGTTTATTTATCGATATTTAAAGGTAGGGCAGGCGATTTCGGAAAGGCAAGCGATAGCAAGCTAGCTTTGAAAGCAAGATCCCACCCTCCCTGAATAATCACTTTGCAAAGCCTCCTCCAAAACACATGAACGCACTCCGTCAGAGCAGAGACTAACCTGCAGCACGATGAGAGACGCCGTTGGTAGAGGATTGAATGCAGCGCTGTCAGATTACCTCATGTCTCATTCACTGCTGAGAAAACATTACAGTACAGCGCGCACAATATTACAGTAATAGCGCCTTTCATTCTCGCTGGAATGCGCTGATGACGTACGATGTCTGCACAAACGGTGCGCAGAGGTATGCAAATATATATTTTGACAGGCAGGCATGACTACTTTTGATTGGACGAACATTTTATGCCTTCCACAGATGATATAAATACATATAAATAAATTTAGACCACTTAACTTAGTGATTGCTATCGGGATGTGAAGAGGTTTTCAACCAGCATAACAAAAAATGTTTTTGAACCATATCACCTACCCTGCCTTTAATAATGAAGATGGGCTGATTTACTGTAATTTCCTCATCTGTGTCTCTCAGGCTCTTCCGTATGTGGCTCTGCTTATTGCCATGTTGTTCTTCATCTATGCTGTCATTGGAATGCAGGTAAATCATCTGCTTGTGTAATGTAGTAAACCTGTTGTGAATTATTATGCTAATGTGATGGTTTTATTATTTTAGGTGTTTGGGAAGATCGCCATGGTGGATGGAACCAGTATTAATCGTAACAATAATTTCCAGACCTTTCCACAAGCTGTGCTCCTGCTGTTCAGGTGTGTTCATGAGAATATTGTGTGTTTGTGAGCACTGATGTTTCACTTCAGTTTAGTGAAGTGAGTCTTTCTGGAATGGCAAAAGCTGTACATTAATTTGATCAAAGCAGTGTAAATTAAGTGAAATAACATCCAATAATACTAGTGTAAATAGAGTGAATTAGTATTAACTAGTAAAAAACATGAAGGTGATTCAATGTTTTCAGTAAGCAGAGCTAGCAACACATTTATGCATTAAGAATATAACATTTAATCATCCTTTTGAATACCAAATAAAAAAAGTTACCAGAGCTAGCAACACATTTATGCATTAAGAATATAACATTTAATCAGAAACCAAGTAGTACATTCTTTGCTCAATTACTAAGTTTTTTTCAGGCTGTGCATCTCCTCCTTTTGAATACCAAATAAAAAAAATGTTAAATTTTTACATGTCTGTTTGACGACGGTCCGTGATGAATCGTACCATATAGGGCAAATTCGTAATAAAAGTTCAAATCAAAATGAATTTGCCAATAATTGTAACAATACACAAAAGTACAGGACAGTCTTTCATTGGTTTTTCTCTTACTGTATGTCAGATGTGCAACGGGTGAGGCATGGCAGCTAATCATGTTGGCGTGTTTGCCTGGCAAACAGTGTGACTCTGAGTCCGACTATAACCCTGGAGAGGAGAAAAGCTGTGGCAGCAACTTCGCTATCCTCTACTTCATCAGCTTCTACATGCTCTGTGCTTTTTTGGTACCTCAAAACATTTCAGCTTTTAAGAAGTGTTGCATTTGTGTGTTTAGTAGTTCTAAACATATTCAGTCTCTAATAATCATGCATCTACTCCTACTACCTCTTGTTATTTTTCTCTTCAACATTGCTCTGTTTTCCAACTCGGTAATACTTGTTTTTGTTTTGTTATCTGACATAAATGATATTACTCAGTTTTATTATTGTTCTTTTTCCTCCAGATCATTAATCTGTTTGTCGCTGTCATCATGGACAACTTTGACTACCTGACGCGTGATTGGTCAATTCTTGGACCACATCATTTAGATGAATTTAAGAGGATCTGGTCGGAATATGATCCTGAGGCCAAGTATATATCCAAAAGATGTTGTACTTCTAGATCACTCTGTGTGTTTTGTTTGACAATGAATATTGTGTGTGTATCAGGGGCCGTATAAAACACTTAGATGTGGTGACATTACTGCGCAGGATTCAACCGCCGCTGGGCTTTGGCAAGCTGTGTCCACATAGAGTGGCTTGCAAGGTATAAAGCACATAAAGCACATGCACATAGACACATAGATAAAACTGTGCAGAGACAGTCTCTCTAGGATTTTGCAGTCTCTCTAGCAGTCTCTCTAGGATTTTGCGATTGCAAAATGTAATGCTAAATTAAGCAAATTAAGTTTTTTCCCACCTGCTGCTTGCATTTTTTTGTCTCATTTCCACAATTTTTTGGCAAGAAAAACATTCCCTTTCATTTGGTCACTTCAACGTTGTGTCTAAGTTCTGACAATAGGGGTTACACTTGAGAGCCCAGACATCTCTGACATTACTGAGAAAAGGACAAGGAAATTGACGAGCAGTGGTAGTAGCACAGGCAGTGGTCTCTCCCTTGGTCATACACAGATAAGTGTGGTGAGTGTGCGCCTGGGTGCTAAGACGGAGATCTTTGAGAGAAAAATTCCTCTGAAAGAGCAATTGCCCCAGATATCCTGGCATAAAAATGTTCTTACGAGCTGATGCAGCATCTCTTACTGAGAAGCAGCACTTCATTCACCTCTCCAAAACCTCTGCATTGGATCTATAGCACAGGCAGCGGTCTCTCCCTTGCTCATACACAAATTCTCGACAGTTAAGAAGCAGATGCACACTGCCTCGACACAGGCCAGGTTCTATCCCTGGACACCCGAAACAGCAACCTACATCTGCTTGTCATGGGGGACAACCCCCCTGGCCCTGCACCGGCCCCTCAGAAGGTGGCTTCATCAACAGACCTGAGGAGCAAGGTCGATGTTGCTCACCCGTCACTATGCGTCATGATGGACACAAAGTCTTCCAGCATGGCATTGTAGTTCCACAGGCAATGTAGTTCCACTGAGGCCATTGGCATGGTGTCTGGACACTTGGATAGCTCTACCTATGATGTCTTTCATACTTTTCTGGACCTTGACAGTGTAATTTACTTGGCAGTCAATTGGACAGTCACAAGCCTCCCAGTTTTCATCCAAAATATCTTAAATTGTGTTCCGAAGACGAACTAAGCTTTTAGGGGTTTGGAACGACATGGGGGTAAGTGATTAATGACAACATTTTCATTTTGGGGTGGAATGTCCCTTTCAGAATTTTTAAGCTGAAGAAAAGTCTTCCGGCTGAGTTGACCTCTGCCATTATATGGCAGCTCTCCCAAGGTTACGCTTACTTGACTACTCAGAACAAAACGAGTATGCAAATGCCACGCTGGCTTATTTATACCCAGATATCTGGGTGGTGGCCAGCTATGCAAATTTTGATCACCTATTTCATTGGCCTTTTCTTAAAGGGTTAGTTCACCCAAAAATGAAAATTCTGTCATTAATTACTCACCCTCGTGTTGTTCCAAACCCGTAAGACCTTTGTCATGGCATTGTAGTTCCACAGGCAATGTAGTTCCACTGAGGCCATTGGCATGGTGTCTGGACACTTGGATAGCTCTACCTATGATGTCTTTCATACTTTTCTGGACCTTGACAGTGTAATTTACTTGGCAGTCAATTGGACAGTCACAAGCCTCCCAGTTTTCATCCAAAATATCTTAAATTGTGTTCCGAAGACGAACTAAGCTTTTAGGGGTTTGGAACGACATGGGGGTAAGTGATTAATGACAACATTTTCATTTTGGGGTGGAATGTCCCTTTCAGAATTTTTAAGCTGAAGAAAAGTCTTCCGGCTGAGTTGACCTCTGCCATTATATGGCAGCTCTCCCAAGGTGAAAGAAGGGAGGTCATGCTTCCTTTGCATTTGAAGGTTATAAGATGCATTTGTTTGTGACATGCCGCTGTTCTTGTCAATATCTGTGTCATCGTGAACTTGTAATTTAATTCAGCCAGTTGTGGCACTTAGTATAAGGACCCCTAGTATCTGTAATTCGACGCAACGTTGTAGTGACCTAATGAAAGGGAACGTCTCAGTTATTTATGGTAATCCTTGTTTCCTGATGGAGGGAACATTGTGTCTCTTGTGCCACAACTCCTGAACTGCCTTTGGGTGGGTTACGCTTACTTGACTACTCAGAACAAAACGAGTATGCAAATGCCACGCTGGCTTATTTATACCCAGATATCTGGGTGGTGGCCAGCTATGCAAATTTTGATCACCTATTTCGTTGGCCTTTTCTTAAAGGGTTAGTTCACCCAAAAATGAAAATTCTGTCATTAATTACTCACCCTCGTGTTGTTCCAAACCCGTAAGACCTTTGTTCATCTTTGGAACACAATTTAATATTTTTAATTTTTTTTTTAATATTTATTTTTTAATTTTTGATAAAATCTGGGGGCTCTCTGACCCTCCCATAGACAGCAAGGTAACTACCACTTTCAAGGTCCAGAAAAGTACCAAGATGATCGGCAAAGTAGTCCGTGTGACATCAGTGGTTCAACTGTAAAGTTACGAAGCTACGAGAATACTTTTTTGCGCAAAGAAAACAAAAATAACGACTTTATTCCACATTTTCGTCTCTACTGCGTCACTTTGGACACGCGTTCATGACAGCACCATGACACGACCGTATGGTGGTATTCTCGTAGCTTCGTAACTTTACAGTTGAACCACTGATGTCAAACGGACTACTTTGTCGATCATCTTGGTACTTTTCTGGACCTTGAACGTGGTAGTTACCTTGCTGTCTATGGGAGGGTCAGAGAGCCCTCATATTTAATCAAAAATATCTTAAATTGTTTTCCGAAGATGAACGAAGGTCTTTACGGGTTTCGAACAACAAGAGGGTGAGTAATTTAATGACAGAATTTTTGGGTGAACTAACCCTTTAATGATTTGTCTGGGCTCCCAAGTGTGACCCCTAGTGTCGGAACTTCGACACAACATTTATTTGTATCTTGGGGTGAATATGTGCTTTTTATAGTAATGACTGATTTCAACAGTAATATAGATTTCAATAAGTACATTGTTTTATTTTATATACACTTTTTAAAACACTTCTGGTTAATGTAATCACTGATAATACTATGATTGGATGAATGGAAAAAATGCTAAAACAATATTACAACAATCGGCAATGATATATATAAAAAAACTAAATGTGATTTAAGACATATAAAATGTACAGTCACTGACTACATATAATAGCTTGTACACTGTCACTGTACTATGTGTTACACAATTCTGTATTTTCAGCAAAACATAACTATGAATATTTCTTTTCTGGTTTCATGATTGCCTTGTGCATGGGGGGTCCAGGACCAAATATTCAGTAATTCTACACAAAAAAATATAATTGTACTTTTACTGTCATTAACACTTATATAATCAAATCATACATTTTGGTGGGTTTTCACTGTAAAAAAAATGCTGCAAATATAGCTGCAATTTTTAAGAAAAGCTGCAGCAATTTTAGTAATTGTAGGTTGCAAAAATAAAAAAAGGACTGTTTAAACCATGTGATATAGTATTATTAAAGCATATATAACATTAATAAAGGAAGTTTAAATATAAATATCACATGCATTAGTTGCATTATATACACAGACTAAACACGTCTAAACTCCCCTCTTTCTCTTAATATCTCCTTAGAGGTTGGTTGCCATGAACATGCCACTAAATAGTGACGGTACAGTCATGTTCAATGCCACCCTGTTCGCTCTGGTCAGAACTGCTCTGAAAATCAAGACTGAAGGTAAAGATTTTGCGACAGAGACTTTCACATGTATGTGCTGGTGTGAATGGGTCATTAATTGTGTTATTGACTGTGTCTCTCAGGGAATCTGGATCAAGCCAATGAGGAGTTACGAGCCGTCATCAAGAAGATCTGGAAGAGAACTAGCATGAAACTCCTGGACCAAGTAGTGCCACCTGCTGGAGGTCAAACACACACACACACACACACACTGGATTCCATGTTTTATGGGGACTATCCATAGGCGTAATGGTTTCTATACTGAACAAACTATATTGTATATCCCCTTACCCTAACTCTACCCCTAAAACTATCCCCCACAAAACTTTCTGCATTTTTAGATTTTCAAAAAACTTAATTCTGTATGATTTATAAGCTTGTTTCTTCACGGGGACCAAAAAATGTCCCCCACAAGTTACAAATTTACTGGCATTTCTACCCTTGTGGGGACATTTGGTCTCTATAATGTAGGGAATACCAGGTACACATGCACACAGGATGAAGGTCTAGTAGACGTCAACCTCCACGAGGAGGAAGAGATATACGAAGTAAAGCACTTCAGTCTTTATCAGTGTACATGTAAATATGTATTTGAGCGTTGCGCTTGTAAATGCAAATGTGCGAACCCGGTCCAAGGATTGCACCAAGGATTTTAATTAAACTGGAAAGCAATTTTCACTCATTCAAAATAAACTACTTTAGATTTTGATTAAATTTGATTTGATTTGATTTGAATAATATGCAAGTACTTTTAAAGTACTTTCTCTAATGCAGGGATCTCCAACACTGCTCCTGGAGAGCTGGGCTGTGTTCCACTTTTCTTTTTTGGAATTGACAATCGTGTTGCATTGGGGTATATGAAGTAGACTCACTCACTCAGAACCTCAGGAGTGATGGAGAACCTCAGCTCAGGACTCACTCCAGAAGGTGAGAGGTCACAATACCACTGAGGTTACCACAGAAAACAAAATCATAAAAACTAAGAAAAATGGCTTTCTACTTAAGTAAACTAGATAAATATGAGCCAAACTGGCCATAGCAGGGCTGGCAACTCTCACGCAACTGACACTGTTCTCGCGCTCTCAAGCCACACGTCCATTTTCTCACACAGTTCAAAGAGCGCAAAGAACAAACTAGTGTTCTCATGAAGACGAGTCTTGCCAGGCTACCTTGAAAAAATGAACTCGGAAGGACACGAGAACACAGAACGCATCTTTGTGAGAATGACAGAGACTCAACTGACAGAGACAGCAGGTCATAAGGAGCGAGACAACAGCACGCAATGCACAATAAATAACTAGAGCCCGACTGATATATTGTTTTGCCGATTTTATCGGCCGATATGAGCCTGTCGCAGATATATCGGTATTGGCGAATATATCGCCGATATGCCACGGATATGATTTTTTTTTTTACAGAGCATAAAATGCAGATAAAATGTTTGTTAATGGTGTAATTACGTCGTTTGTCCAGCAGAGCGCGCTCAGTTGTTTGCTACTGACGACCTGAACTGAACGCCAAATCAAGTGTTTTCGAGGCCCCTTTTCGAATGCCGGGGTCTGGGAGTTACGGACGGTTAAATTCACAGTCAGGCGCTGACCAATCTGGCGATCCCGGGGGGCTACTAATGCATGGAGGGTAGCGTTCGAGAGGGCTCCTCGAGCTGAAAGGATCCCTGAATTTGGTGGAAATCCGCCACCGCGTTCGTGACACCAGCCAGCACTTTCACTTCAGTAAGGAGGTCTCTTGTTCAGGCAGAAGCAAGCATTGTCTTATTCGACCATAAGTGCCCTGCGAAGTGGACTTCACATGATATTCCGCCATGATTTCAGTTCCAAGGGTACGTACGCGTTACATTCAAAGGGCATTAAAGTGCGCAAGACATGAATTTAAATTGTATTTATTTACAGAGGTATATTATTTCACACTTCACACTTCTCTAGTAAGTTTCGTCTGTGTGTAAAGACAGTAGAGCAAATCTGTGAATGGATGTTTCCGAAGTGAAATAAACTTCAACAGAATAAAGTTGAATGGAATTGAATTGAAATAAAGTTGAATAAACTTCAACTTTACTGTTCAGTGCACTGATGTCAGACTCATTTTGGATAATAAAGTGTATTGTTAAATTGTTAAATGCCCTGCCTCCATTACATATGTTTGTCACATTATTATAAGTGTTTGATCACCACATTTGAGTGATCATTGCAAAAATATTTTATGTATATATATTCTGTTTATGTATATACTGTATTCTATATATAGTACCAGTCAAAAGTTTGGACACACGAATGGGAAAGTACAAACTTTTGACTGGTACTGTACTATAAAAGAATATCGGCCGATATATCGATATTGGCCTTTATTTACTCCCTAATATCAGTATCGGCCCCCAAAAAACCCATATCGGTCAGGCTCTATAAATAACACATTGTTATGTGATCACAAACATAATACTTTTAAAACATTTATTTTATTTTATTATAGACAATATTTTCATATTATTTTATAGCATGTATTTGTGAAAATGATTAGGCTATGTATAATGTTACATATTCTTTGCCAATGTTAAAATTCTTTTTAATATGCCAATAAAAAGTATGACAGGCTTTCTCACTTCATTAAAATTATGCAAAACAAAATGGCAAATGTTTACTCTCACAAGCTGTCACATATTTGCGAGCTTGCAGTGGTTATTTCTTAAGCGAGAATGAGAAGATTAAAGTTTACAGGCTTCTGTACATCGTGCGTCTTCTGGGATTTCTAATGGTTCGATTCTCTCGAGTCTGCATTCGATGCTTACTCGATTTCAAGAACACATCCGGGCACTTTCATGTGTCCTCTATACTTGTGTTCTCGAGGAGTGGAATTGAAATTCGATGGTTAATGATGATGATGTAGAGTGAGAAAACAAGGATCCAAGATCACATAAAGAACGCATATTGAGAAACGGCCAAAGGAACCCTCAGTTAAAACTGTAATAATAGGATATTGGTGAAACGGATTTGGTAAAGACTCCAGTACGTATTTGTGTATTGTGTTTACAATTATATTTACTGTAAACATCTGAATTTGCAACGCGTTTTTGTAGCATTAAGCAATGTAGCCAATCACAGACAAGTCTGTTGTTTTCTTGAACTCCTCTGATTGACATTTCCGCTCAAGTTAGTCTGAATTCACTTGGGGAGGAATCTCATTGTGAAATAAATGCTTTCATATTGGCCACAAAATTCATTGTGTGCTCAGTGACCCATTTTTTTGTTGATTTTGATGTTTGTTTTGGATTATGGTCCTGATGGAAGATCCAACCACAGCCCATTATAAGATTTCTTACAGAGGCAGTCAGGTTTAGATTTTTTATCTGTTGGTATTTGATAGAATCCATGATGCCATGCATCTGAACAAAATGTCCAAGACCTCCGGCAGAAAAACAGGCCCACAACATAAAAGAACCAGCAGTATATTTAACCGTGGGCATGGGGTACTTTTTTATCCCTGTCTGTACTAAACCCATCTGGTGAGTTTGCTGCCAAAAAACTATTTTTTTAAAGTTTCATCTGACCATAGAAGCCAGTGCCAATTGACGTTCCAGTCGTGTCCGACAACTGAATATGCTGAAATTTGTTTTTGGATGAGCGAGGAGAATTTTTCTTGAAACCCTCCCGAACAACATGTAGGGGCTGTTTGATATATTTTTTTAGGCTTTCTGACCCCAAGACTCAGCTAATGTCTGCAATTCTCCAGCTGTGATCCTTAGAGAGTCTTTGGACACTCAAACTCTCCTCCTCAGCGTGCGTTAGGATGATAGAGACACACGTCCTCTTCCAGGCAGATTTGTAACATCTTTAGTTGATTAGATTTTCTTAATTATTGCCCTGATGGTGGCAATGGGGATTTTCAATGCTCTATCTCTTTTCTTATAGCCACTTTTTACAGCTCAACAATCTTGTTCTGCACATCAGAACTATATTCTTTGGTTTTACTCGTGATGGATGTTTAAAGGAATTTGGCCTTTGTGTTCCTCATATTTATAATCCTGTGGAACAGGAAGCCATTGCTGGGCAATTTCTTCTAGTCACCCTGGTGTGCTAAAAAATGGAAATATGAATGGAAATATACTTCAGAGATATTTTACTCATAAGAATTTCTAGGGGTGCCAATAATTGTGGCCAACATGCATTGGAGAAAAACATTTATTTCATCATGAGATTTTCTCCCCACTTTCAATTGTTTAACTTTAATGAAAGGTTAGAATTATTTTTTTTTTAAGTGCTGGTACTACTAGATCTTGGTGCCGCGTTTAACACTGTCGATCATAACATACTTCTGGAGAGACTGGAAAACTGGGTCAGACTTTCTGGGATGGTACTCAAATGGTTCAGGTTATACTTAGAAGGGAGAGGCTATTATGTGAGTATAGGAGAGCATAACTCTAAGTGGACGTCCATGACATGCGGAGTCCCACAAGGATCAATTCTTGCACCACTCTTGTTTAGCCTGTATATGCTCCCACTAAGTCAAATAATGACAAAGAACCAAATTGCCTATCACAGCTATGCAGATGACACCCAGATTTACCTAGCCTTATCACCAAATGACTACAGCCCCAGTGACTCCCTCTGCCAATGCATTGATGAAATTAACAGTTGGATGTGCCAGAACTTTCTTCAGTTAAACAAGGAGAAAACTGAAGTCATTGCATTTGGAAACAAAGATGAAGTAAATCCTTCCTCAGAGGAATCGACCAAGGAGGGGCTGTCACGAGGAGCATTAGTTCCGGGAACCAGGTCTGGGTGGGCCAATAGGGCGCCACTAACAGGACCTGCTCCTTGTCCTCCCTGACCTTGCACAATATCCGTGCAAGAAGGCTCACTGGAGGAAATGCATATTTGCGAAGGCCCCGCAGCCAGCTGTGTGCCAGTGCATCCGTGCCGGGTGTTCCCTCGGTCAGGGAGTAAAACAACTGGCAGTGAGAGATTTCTGGAGAGGCAAACAGTTCTACCTGAGCGGCTCCGAAACGTCTCCAAATCAGTTTGACCGTCTGGGGATAGAGTCGCCATTCTCCCGGGAGCACAGCTCGAGACAGTTCGTTGGCTGCCTCAGATGCTTCTGACTCCAAAGGAAGAGGTGGCGGGCGAGTTGCGACATTCGACGGGCGCGCAAACCACCTTGTCGGTTGATGTACGCAACGGTCGCAGTGTTGTCCGTGCAGACTAGTCCATGCTCGTCTCGTAAGCACCCTTTGAGATGGATCAAGGCAAGGTGCACTGCCAGCAACTTGAGGCAGTTGATGTGCCAGTGCAGCTGGGGCCCCGTCCAAACCCCTGACACTGCAAGCCCGTTGTACGTGGCCACCCCAACCGGTGGTTGAGGCATCCGTGTGAACCACAGCATGCCTGGAGACCTGGTCAAGGGGCACCCCTGCCCGGAGAAATGCAAGGTCTGACCACGGGATGAAGGTTTGGCAGCAGGCCGGGGCAACTTGCACCCGGGTGAGTGCCACGTTGCCACGCCCACCTTGGGACTCGGCCATGGAGCCAGTGGTGAAGCGGTCTCATATGAAGCAGCCCTGGCGGCATGACTGCCGCCGTAGCTGCCATATGCCCCAGGAGCCTCTGAAATTGTTTCAGTGGGACCACCATCCTGCTCTTGAATGTATTCAAGCAGTTCAACACCGACTGAGCACATTCCTGCGTGAGGCATGCTGTCTGTTCTACCGAGTCCAACTCCATACTAAGAAAAGAAATCCTCTGCGTCGGGGAGAGTTTGCTCTTTTCCCAGTTGACCCGAAGGCCCAACAGGCTGAGGTGTGAGAGCACCAAGTCTCTGTGTTCGTACAACTGATCCTGAGACTGAGCGAGTATGAGCCAGTCGTCGAGGTAGTTGAGAATGCGAATGCCCTGTTCTCTCAGGGGTACAAGGGCCCCCTA